CTGCACGAACCCCTAAAAGGTGAAGAGGACATTTAAAGAAAAATAAATGTGATTCGACAAAAGGATGTCGAGGGTACCGTGGACTGAACATGTGTGCAACAGCGAAGTTTTGCACTTGGGTTTATTTTGTTTTACGGCATATCAAAACTTCAATGGGTTATTTAATGTCAACAAGATATTTAGGATAGGTTCGTATGAATAGAATATGTATTTTGTAAAATTCAGTTTAGAGATCAGGTTTGGCGTATTTTTGTCGAGAGTCAAATGTATTGCTGGTAAAAAATTTTTTTACGTATACTGCAGTATTTTTTAATATAACTGTTGGGGCGCACCCACCTTCTAACTAGTAATGGACTGGTCCTTCTTATATAAGTCAGCTCTGGGGAGAGAGTGACAGAGCGTCAGAGAGAGCGTCAGCGTGAGTAGTCCAGATAAGCTTACCCGGTACATACCGTTGGACTATAGACTTTGGATATTGTTTCGTACTAACCAACCTTCGTTCTACTAATCAACTCTATTGTTAATTGCTTTTATGAATATACCAGTATTTTCCTCTACGACTGTGTTTGTCTTGATTCATACACCGACACGCGGGAAACTCACAACATCTCAACAATAACTATCTGTTTTTATACTTTCATAGTGTTTTAACCCCAGTTTGGGGCTTTACTATTTGCCCATAGCTGGGACCCTAACAGGTGCTACCACTCCGGGTCATGGTGGACCTGGAAACAACAACAATTAGGAGTTCGTTCCACGCTTCTTAAAACCTCCCTATCAGATGCCTTGCTGCCGGATGAAAATTTGTCGTCACACCCTGGACGAAAAAAGTTTTGGTGAAAAAGGAAACAAAATGGAAAAAAATAGTTAACACCAGCAAGAGATAGTTGAGGTATATTGGATCGTATACAGAGGAAAGAAGGCTTGGAAAATCTGATACTCACGAGACAGAGCCTAAGATGGATAGAGGAAGACCATACTTGATGAGCTTAAGGAAATAGATGATGGAAAAGGGCTTGGGAGAAACTGCAGGACAAGGTTTATTAAGAGATGCAAGAGACAGAAAGTCGTGGAGATCCATGATCGCCTACGCCCTGAAGTGCCCGGCACGCAATAAACAACACTTATCACATCTTCTTTTCTGCTGCCCTGTTTCATAGGCTTTACTAAATCGTCGTTGAATTTGAAATTCCAGAGGGTTGGTAAAGACGCTAAAATGGCGAATGTGCCTCTCCTCTGATTAAAATGCGCGGTAACCCTCCCCCACCCCACCCCCAAAAAAAAAAAAAAAAAGAAAGATAAGATTTATCATAGGTAGGATGCTTTTATTCGGTCAGTAACTAAATTTAAGATAAGATTTTTAAAAAAACGAAAATAAATAAAAATTAGCATTTATAATTCTTTTATATGCCGTGTCCCTACAGGATATGAGCGACCATGGCCCTCCATGCCTTCCTCTCTTTTGCAGCTCAAAGCAATGTTTATCTCTTTCTTCTTTGTTCTGCAATCTATTTACACCAGCTTATTGTTATTTATGTTATTCGATATTATGTGTCCCAGAAATATCTGATTCTTATTCTATGCAAAAGTGCCATCTATCTATCTATCTATCTATCTATCTATCTATCTATCTATCTATCTATCTATCTATCTATCTCAGTCCCGTTCAATGTCCATCAATTTCTTTCTTTCTTTCTTTCTTTCTTTCTTTCTTTCTTTCTTTGTAACACAGTTCCTTTCCATCTATTTCAGTGCATCCATTTCTATCTATCTATCTATCTATCTATCTATCTATCTATCTAACACAGTCCCGTTCAATGTCCATCAATTTCTTTCTTTCTTTCTTTCTTTCTTTCTTTCTTTCTTTCTTTCTTTTTAACACAGTTCCTTTCCATCTATTTCAGTGCATCCATTTCTATCTATCTATCTATCTATCTATCTATCTATCTATCTATCTATCCAACACGGCCACTTTTCTATCTGTGTCCATCAATTTCTATCTATCTATCTATCTATCTATCTATCTATCTATCTATCTATCTATCTATCTATCTATCTCTCAGTGCTTTCTATCTAACAGTTTACCTATCTATCCATTCATAACTATTTAACCGTACTTTAATATCTATCTATCTATCTATCTATCTATCTATCTATCTATCTATCTTCTAGGTCCCTTTATATCTATCTATCTATCTATCTATCTATCTATCTATTTATCTATCTATCTTCTAGATCCCTTCATATCTATCTATCTATCTATCTATCTGTATTCTTATTTTATTCTTTTATATCTCTTTCGGTTTTTGTTAGATACCGTCGGCCATGACGCGACTGCCATTCATTTGATTAAACAGAAAGCTACAAACGAAAAAGAATAAAAAAAACAAAGCCTCGTTATGGCTAAGCAATGAAATTGAAGGAAAATAAAAATAAATAAATAAATAAACGCCATTTATACAAATGGAATAAACTTCGTTCAAATACGCATGCGCCTGAGCTTTCAATTATTTCCACGTTTACAATTCTCACAGGGCAACGCTTGTATTGTATTGCCATATTTGTCATATAAATTTAATCAATATATATCTTGCTATCTGGAGCATAGGTCATACTATTCTAAAATCAGGTATGAAGAAAACCATATTTCCCATCTCGTGTACAATTATATATATATATATATATATATATATATATATATATATATATATATATATATATATATATATGTGTGTGTGTGTGCGGCCGACAAGTTCTTTCTGTTTAACATTTTATTCTATTTTTCTAATATTTTGATGTTAAACGAAGTGCATTCAATAGGTTTAGAGACATTTTGGTGTGTGGCAATTATAACTTTCCTAAATTTTTTGTCCTGTAAGTATATAATTACGATGCATTATTTACATTATTGGGATTGTTATCCTCATCTTCATTGCCATATTCACATCATTTCGGTTGTTGTACGCTCAAGCGAACCAAAATTTGGAGAGTTGGGCCGAACCGAACCCTTTATTTCGTCGATGTTCTAGTTCGACGTGCCATGCCTCTTCGTTAATTAGTTATTTCGCTTTGACTCAACTCTCGATGTTTTGGTTCACCACTGTCTGGTATTGAACTCACAACTATTTGCGTCTAGTCACTGGATCTAAACAACGTCTTTATCCACTGGGCCTTGTGTGCTTGAGGAGAATGGAAATAACGGAGACATCCGGAAGAGGTATGGCACGTGAAACTAGGACAATCTACCCCGGTGGACGAAATAAAGGGTTCATTTCGAAATTCCAATCATCTGAAGATTGCCGGGGCGTACAGCAGCCGAAACGGTGTGAAAATGATAATATGAGGATAACAAATTGAATAATGTAAACAATACAAGTAATTACGATGCCTGTCTATATTTCTGAGATGAGGTATTATGTACAGTATTTACATTAGTCGGACTATTGTTCTCATCTTTGTCGCCATATTCGTCACAACGTTTCGGCCGTTGTACACTCCGGCCTTCTTCAGGTGGTTGGAATTTCGAACTGAACCCTTTATTTCGATCACTGGGGTAGACTGTTCTAGTTCCACATGCCATGTCAGTTATCAGTTATCTCCTGCTAATTTTCTCTCTGAAAGTTCTCCACTGCCTTAACCAGGTATTGAACTCACCTTCTTTGGGTCTGTCACTGGATCTAACCAACGCCTTTATTCACTGTGCCATGTGTCCTTGAGGACATCTGGGTATGAACTTCTGAGTATTATAAACCTAATGTTTTCAGCATCATAAATCGAAATAAAGGGTTCAGTTCGAAATTCCAACCACCTGAAGAAGGCCGGAGCGTACAACGGCCGAAACGTTGTGACAAATATGGCGACAAAGATGAGGACAATAGTCCGTCTAATGAAAATACTATAATTACGATGCATTTAATAATTTGACTTGACAACTTTTCTCATGCCAGATTGAAGAAGACGGTTGTAAAAGCTCTTCGAACACACCCGACTAAACACTGCTTGTCACGGCAGACGCTTTAGAATGTAGTCAAGAGATGAAAACAATTTGGGAACAAAAGCTATGCAATAAAGTTTTGTGTTAAACTGGGCAAAAATGCGACAGTGAAATGCTCCAGACTGCTAATGGATTGACTTGTAAGAGCCGTGCATCTGATTGCCGCTGGCTCAAAAGGAATGTGGAGACGATGTGAGAGACGATGGGCGATGTGAGAGGGAGACAATGTGAACGTGGACGTCAGAACATCCAAGCTGGTTGAGAAAATTTGCAATTTTCTGGATGAACGTCGTTACATGTCTCTAAAGACTATAAAAGTATAGTTTGGAGTTGGTGTGGCAACTGTACACAGAATTATTCATGAAGATCTGAATATGTGCAAAATGTTTGCAAAGTTTGTTTCCGGGGTGCTCAGTGACGAACAGAAGAAAAGAGGCGTTCGCGACAGCAGGTGGATGGGTGGATGGTGGTCATCAAAACTGTCCCTCGCCCTCCTGAAGAGTTCAGACCTTGCTCCCTGTGACATCTGGTTGTTCCAAGAAGACTCTCAGGGGCAATCGCTTTGAAGAGAGCTGTGACAAGGGCCCTTGACACATTAATTTTGAATGACTTTCATGGTGTCTTCACGGAGTAGCTTGAGCGCTATAACAAGTGCATTGATGTTAGCACCTATTTTGAAAGAGATTTAGAATTACGTATTTCATTCAAATTAATAACTGTCTCTCCTGAAGAAGTCTCAAAACTTCTAGAACGCACTTCGTAGATCCAAATCAATGTTGGAGATGAACTGGCCAAAGTTCATAATTACTTTTGTTACTGTTTGGTTATAATCGATCGTCTCAATTATTATTGCCCCTCCCTTAGTCACATGAGATGTTTTGTTAGCCCAATTTTATTTAAATGCTCGTTATTCCTTGTTAACTAGGCAAGTTGTTTCTTTTGCTTGATTCCCACTACTCTCCTGATTCGGTGAGGGTATGTAGCACGCGTGTGGTGAAGTTGTAGCTCAGTTGTCGTCGTTGGCAGATGCCAGGGGACTATACATTTTCCAAAATCCGATGTGACTAACTCAAGATTAATAAGTGGCTGATTTTTTGATTGGTTTGTCCTTTTACGGCTTATCAGCCATTTGCATTATTTTTAAAGCCAAGAAAATATTTTTAGATTGTAAGAATTTTTTTTTTTGAGATAATAAAGATTTACTGATACAGCTATTACGAATTAACCCATAGCTGGGTGGGAAGAGGTGGATTCATACATTTATGAAGAGTATTTGCTCGTAAATGAATATGACGAACTCGATTGGAATTCATCCCCACACTAAAGATTTTGTGGTTCATCCATCTATTTAATGACCAGACTCGACTTTGCTTAACGCCATAGCAGAAGAGTTGTTTAAACTTGACATGACTGTAAGTACCAAGAAATAGATGTTTTTATATTTGCGAGTTTAGGAGGAAAACGGGGTTAGGATTATGATTTTTTGTTAGAAATGTTAATGGTGATTTCTGTTCTTTGGGATTTGAAGATTTTGTGAGCTCTTTGTTTTGTTTTGTTTTTGCGTTGAGGATTAAATGATGTGGGTAGAAAAGAATTTTGAAAATTTTATATATATATATATATATATATATATATATATATATATATGTGTGTGTGTGTGTGTGTGTGTGTGTGTGTGTGTGTGTATTATGAGATTAAAAAACACATTAAAAATTGCTACACAATAGCTTTCATGTTTCAGCACTAAATTTGTGCCTCCTTAGACGATGGTAAATATCGCCCGAAGAGGCAAACTTTAGTGTAAAACATGAAAGCTATTGTATAGCAATTTTTAACATGTTTTTGTTTTAATCTCATATAATAAATAATATGAAGCTATATTCTCTATTAAGCCTTTTTTTTTTTACACACAGTGAAATTATACTTCATTTGTTCTTATCCTATATATATATATATATATATATATATACATATATATACAGTGTAACCCGGATATAAGAGAGTTGTCGGGACCGGAGAAAAAAGTCTCTTATATCCGGGTTTCTCTTATATCCGTGTTGGGTCTATTTTGTTTAGGTATGTATGGGCTCTAATTTGGGACCAGAGAAAATCTCTCTTATATCCGGGTTTCTCTTATATCAAGGTCTCTTATATCCGGGTTACACTGAATATATATATATATATATATATAAACTAAAACAGTCCTAAGGAGCCAGGCAAACCTACCCAGGTTTCACCTAAGGGGATCTTAATGGTAACACTGGCTGTTTTACCATGAATATCCGTTTAGGTGAAACCTAGGTAGGTTTGCCTGGCTCATTAGGATTGTTTAGTTTTTGCTGTACTTTACGTTTAGTCTTTTACTCATTTTGTTTTTTTTCTTTCTTTGGACTTGGAGTTTTAACACTTGACGAGAGAATTCGTACAGTGTTATGTTATTGGTTCTTTCTTTTTTTCTTGCCAATTTTTCCCCAGACATCAATTTGTTATATTACAAGTTGAGCCAACCGAGGTTTTTCAAAACAGTATTACCATTCATATATATATATATATATATATATATATATATATATATCTTTCCTATCTTTCTGCGTTAGACTGATTGCCAAGAGCGGGTATAGAACCCAGTCTGTCCAGCTATTCAACCCATAGCTGCGAGGGTAAAGATGGATACGTACCTTTCCCAACGTAAGTAAATGTAACGAACTCGAATGGAATTCGAATTCAGCCCTCCTATTTCTTAGTCCAACCCAATATTTTTCACATATATATATATATATATATATATATATATATATATATATATACATATATATATATATACATACATATATATACATATATATATATATATATACATACATATATATATATATATATATATATATATATATATATATATATATATATATATATATATATAAATAATTATTCACACAAAAAAACAAAAGCAAAAGGTTAATGATTTAATTGGCGAGAAATCCATCATCGCAAACAATTCAAATAATAACAAGACGAATCCGTTGTGAATAAAAAATCCTTGTTTCCACGGCAGAAATTTCTGGAATTTTCTGTCTGGACCTGAAAATTCATTCATAACGGATTCGGAGGTTTTTGTATAAAATTTGAATTGTTTGCGATGATGGATTTTCGCCAATTAAATCATTAAATTTTGCTTTTGTTTTGCGTGAATAATTCATGAATTTGTAAATTGATTGCACGTTTATCGTAATATATATATATACATACATATATATATATACATATATATATATATATATATATATATATATATATATATATATATATGAATAACGCAAAGAGAAAACTCATCTTTACCGAATCGTTTCGTCTGCTGATTGTATTTTTAAAGTATTTATAAAGAAAAAGAAAAATGGCGTTAGTTTTTAAGAATTCAAATTTTTCTCCATATCTCAATCTGTGATGAAGCCTTAATAAAATTGGGACATGCTAGATTGATAAACGTTTACTATTTGTTCTTTATCTTATCATATATATATATATACATATATGTGTGTGTGTTTGTGTGTCTGTGTCTGTCTCTGTGTGTAATGTGTCCACATACTTTATTATAATAATAAAAAATGAAGTAAAATATTGAAATAATAAAATAAATAAATCGCTATCATTTTGTGCGGCCTCGTTCCCAATCGCCGTTACACATGACGTCACGCTAGACCACTTCAAACGTTCAGCTTCCTAAGGAATACCAGGATATAGACAAAGGAAGCCTAACCTCCACGCAGACATCACATCGATTCTTGGAAATGACTGCGATAGTCGAAAGTACTTGAACAAAATAATAGAATATGAACTTTGGACAGTTCATCCACAATTCCGAGCATGATATTAAACACATCCGAAAAACGGAAAAGTACAATAAAAAAAATTAAACAGATAGACTTTGTCAGTTCTTTTCAATCAAGCTTTTTTTGGATAGATACACTACAGTTCAATATTTTGAAGCCATTCCAAAAATAAGCATGGAATTTACTTGACAGATGAGTGAAAAAAATGAAAAAGAGTTCTTAGAGTCATTGAATAAAGAATGGAATCAATTATCTAACTTATATTTTGAAAAACTTTTGCAATGAATGCCAAACATTTGTGCTGCAGTAATCAAGACTAAAGGAGGACTTTTTGACGACAGACAAATTTAATAATAATTTTTTTTTCTTTTGCTCATAATAAAATTTCTACATAATTTATGTCCAGAAAAAAAAATTTTAAGGACACATGAAAAAAAAACTTAACCGCAGTATCTTGTCAACCGTTTTCAATGAAACATGTATAAAAGAGAGATTGATGCCAAATACACAATTAGATAGATAGATAGATAGATAGATAGATAGATAGATAGATAGATAGATAGATATGAACAGGGTGAGATAGCTAGCTAGCTAGATAGATAGATAGATATGGACAGACTTAGAATTAGATAGATAGATAGATAGATAGATAGATAGATAGATAGATATGGACAGACTTAGAATTAGATAGATAGATAGATAGATAGATATGAACAGGGTGAGATAGCTAGCTAGCTAAATAGATAGATATGGACAGACTTATATATATATATATATATATATATATAAAGAAATATAGTCTTCAGGTGTGCTATATTTATGGGATAAAGTGCTCAATATCAGAGATAGAGCGTGTATAAATATAAAAGTGAACATAGAAGTCAACACTTAGAGGCGACAGTCTGTTTCATGCTATATGCAATCGTCAGTCCACATATGCTGTTATTTTTCTCGGCTATTTATATATATACGGGTTAGTGGTGCATTGTGGGTATTCTATTATGGCGGTTTTTTTTACCGGATGTCGCTTTGTTTATTTATTTGGGTCAAATTATATTGCTCGTTTTTATTTTTTGTTTCTTATTTTATTTATTTGTTTATTTATTAACGTAGTAAAAATTTGTTTATATCACGTATTTAACAGTTTTGTTTTGGTTTGAGAATTTAATTAATGCTATTTGTTCAATTTTGGGGTTGGTGTTGTAGTTCATCCTAACTATTATTTTTTGGCGGGAACAGTTTTTAATTTGGGATTAGTTTGTCTATTTATTTACTTGGATGAATTTAGGTCAATTTATTTGTATATTTTCTCTTTTCGGTTTTCGGTTTTTAAGCAACATAATATTTATTTATTTATTTTATTTTATTTATTTATTTATTTATTTTTATTTTTTATTAGTGTATTTGTTTGTTTTTATTTTATTGTTTCCGTTTTTCATTTTTTAGGTTACGTAGTAAAAATTTATTTTCATGCCTGCATTTTGAGATGAGCTCGGAACTTTTATTTAATAATTTATTTTGGTCGGGGAAAGTAATGATAGCTATTTTTTCCTTCAAGCAAAGTTTGCAAATTTTTGATTGGTTGTTGTAGGCTGATGACTTTTTCTTTATCTTCCAAGATGTTTTTGGTGTGATGTGCGTTTTGTTTTTTATTTCCCAGATATACTTAGAAAGCATAGTACTGTTCGCATATTTACTATTTGTGAACGATGTTGTGTGTGTATAATTTCTTTGCTTCCAGGATCCTTCAGTTACTCCTATCTATACTTTTTCTTCATTATCTGGTGATTTTATCGTGGCTTGGTATATTACGTTGTTTTGTAAACAATTTCCGTTTAAGGGACATTCGTTCTTTATTCTGCATTTGCACGTGGGTTTAATTTGTTCGTGTGGTTTGTTGATAATTTTCCTATTGTGCTTTTTTATTATTTGTGCCATGCTCTCGGTGCAGCTGTAGCTGATTTTTACTGTGTTTTTGTTGAATATCTTGTGTAAGGTGCTTGATTCTGGGAAGTGTTTGTGTAAGAGTTTGAAGAATATTTTTCCTACGTTTGTTTTTACGTTCTTGCTGTACGGTGGGTTGAATCATATGATATTTCTTCTCCTGTTGTTCTTTTTTGTATTCTGTGGTGAGTATGTGAGTATTGCTGGGAATCCGCTATCTTTTAGGGCCGTTTCATAGTCTTTCTTAGCTTTGTTAAATAGGGATTCATTGGAGGAATTGTCGGAGAGCCTGCGGTTAATCGATTTTGGTATCTGTTTGATTATAGAAGGCGGGTGGTTGGAAGATGTGTGTATGTAGAGTGGTTTATCGTTAGGTTTTCTGTATGGTTTATATGTGCCTTCTCTTAGGTTGAAGGTAACATCTAGGAAATCTACTTCGTTTAGGTTAGTATTTATATCTATGTCGAATCCGTTATTTTTTAAAATCTTTATTATTTCTTTTCTAGTTTTGTCATTTTTACTACGTAACCTAAAAAATGAAAAACGGAAACAATAAAATAAAAACAAACAAATACACTAATAAAAAATAAAAATAAATAAATAAATAAAATAAAATAAATAAATAAATACTATGTTGCTTAAAAACCGAAAAGAGAAAATATACAAATAAATTGACCTAAATTCATCCAAGTAAATAAATAGACAAACCAATCCCAAATTAAAAACTGTTCCCGCCAAAAAATAATAGTTAGAATGAACTACAACACCAACCCCAAAATTGAACAAATAGCTTTAATTAAATTCTCAAACCAAAACAAAACTGTTAAATACGTGATATAAACAAATTTTTACTACGTTAATAAATAAATAAAATAAGAAACAAAAAATATAAAACGAGCAATATAATTTGACCCAAATAAATAAACAAAGCGACTTCCGGTAAAAAAAAAATTATATAATAGAATACCCACAATGCACCACTAACCCGTATATATATAAATAGCCGAGAAAATAACAGCATATGTGGCCTGACGATTGCATATAGCATGAAACAGACTGTCGCCTCTAAGTGTTGACTTCTATAATGTTTTTATATATATATATATATATATATATATATATAGATAGATAGATAGATAGAGATAGATAGATAGATAGATAATGAACTGGCTTGGATAGATAGATAGATAGATAGATAGATAGATAGATAGATAGATAGATAGATAGATAGATAATGAACTGGCTTGGATAGATAGATAGATAGATAGATAGATAGATAGATAGATAGATATGAATAAAGATGATAGATAGATAGATAGATAGATAGATAGATAGATAGATAGATATTACTGTTCAAAAGACTGAAACCACCCACAAAATTAGTATGGGATGAACATCACAGAAGAGTGAACAAAAAAAAATGAAAAAAGAACTCTTAGAGTCATTGAATAAAGAATGGATTCAATTATCTAATTCATATTTTGAGAAGCTTTTTGCAATGAATGCCAAAACTTTGTGCTGCATTTATCAAGGCTAAAGGAGGATATTTTGACGAGAGCAAAATTTAATCATGAAATGCTTCTTTTTCTTTTTGTCATAGTAAAATTTCTAATAAAAAAAATCATGAGTCACTTTTTTAACCACATATAATAATTTTCTTTTCATGGTTCCTTACCTATAACTACAGAATGAACTCTTCCTAATGCTATGTATACTACGCCTCTCAAGAGAGAGGGACGAATCGAGTCGAGCTGGTAGTAGTTCACTCCAAACCAGACTGACAGTCATACTAACACCTTCCACATCTTGTATTATTATTTCGTGTAATATACCTTCGTTATTTCTACTCTTGTGTTCGTGTTGTTCTTCCTTGGTTCTAACCTGGACCATAACATTTCTCTTATTTAAAGTAAAACACAACTAATTTTTGAGCCATTTTAAAAAATTACCAGGGGTTGTCTCAAACTTTTTAACTGTAGTGTATATGTGTGTGTGTATGTGTCTGCGTGTGTCTGTGTGACAAATTGGATAGTTCAATCCCTAGGCCGGGTAGTGGAATCGGGCAAGCAATAATAGTGAAAGTACTAAAAAAAAAGCACGATGAGATATCGCTGGACATAGGCATAAGAAAAATAGTAATGTCTGTCGTGTCTAAATTCATATATATATATATATATATATATATATATATATATATATATATATATATTCCATGTGGAAGTTTTGATTTTCTTTTATTTTCTTCCATTTCTTTCATTACGATTTGATTTTTAATTCCTTGTAACGTTAAAAATGTGAATTTGGAGTTTGCTTTAATTAACGTTATTTTTTCCTGCATGCTTTACAAGTCTTTCACTGGCCCAGTTGGCTGGCTTATTTCGAGTTAAAATTTTTAAAAAAAGAAACAATCGTATTCTTTAACAACGGCTGCATCTGGCAGGAATGCGAATACAGCGAGGAAAGAAAGAAGAATAACAAGAAAAAGTATATAAACTTTTTAGTAGTCAATTCTTAGAGGCCGGCCATTTTGAATATTTGTCTGAAAAAGGCGGAATTTCTAAGTCGAGCCGAGTCTAAACTAAAAAATAACTATTGATTTTAATTGAATGTTCTTATTTTATTTTATTTTCAAGAATAAAATCATTTTCATTGCGAATGTATGATAAGTGATGATAATAGTGGTACCTCTAAATTATCGCGATATCTAAAGTTTAAAATTAATTTCTAAAAATAAAAAAATCTTCCTTGAAGATTTATTTTAGTTTCAGTTTCAAGGTAACAGATGAAATATAATATTTCTAACAAACAAAATACGTTTCTGTATTTCAACGCGAATTTAAATTGATTGGAATTATATTTTTAATCTCTAAATATCAGTGATCTTGGCCACTTTTATCTATCTGTCAGCACAATGTAATTCTCTTTATTAAAAATATTTAAAAAATAAAATATATTTTCTGAAATTTTATTTAATGAATAATAGCTGACAAAGTTTAATAAATCTGATTTGAAACAAATATTGCTTTAAGTCTGAAATATTGTAAAAATTTAATTTTTTAACACAGAGGTTGTTGCTTTTATTATTTGTTGATATTTCTATTGACAGATTAACATCCAAACATTTAACTAGATTTTTCTACGGGCGATGCAGCTGTAAAAATTACTTGGTGAATTATAACGTAAGCGCCTATTTTATATAATTTTTTTACTACTAAGGAATGTTATAAATTTGGGAAAATATTCTCCGTAATCCAATGTTTTATTAAATTGTAGGCTTTGGCTTTAAATTTACTGCTGTTATTTTCTGTTAATATCGTGTATGGACATCCGTATTTACAAAAATCGGTAAGATTATACACACTAAGAAAAAATTCAGAATACTTTTTTTTTAAAATGCTGCGCGTCGCTGAATTGTAGTAACTTTTCTATTTATGATTAGTAAATGTATTTTTTAGTTAATAACAATATCACCAAATGAATACAGAATTTTAAAAGATTTAAAATTTTACAAACTATTCTAATTAAAATTTGATAACAACTAGAGACAATATAGCGTAGCTAAAACCAAATTCCTGGGATGATACTAATCCGCGTATATATAACCTACAGGACTGGCCCCAAGAGCAACGATTTCCTTCAACGTATATATTGCGTCTACTTCCTTATCGCACTTATCATCACTGACGGCCGCTGGACCAATGGTATGGTGGCTATGTTGCATCGGTCCGGGTTTGATTGTTCTTAGTGGATGGGCAATGCTGATGAGTCCCACAAAATAGGATGAAACGGCTGTTCATTGTTTTTCTTTTCTGTTAAGGTTTCTAGTTCTAGATATGATATATATATATATATATATATATATATATATATATATATATATTTGTGTGTGTGTGTAAAAATATATAGAAAATAGGAAAGAACTCGTTAGGTGAATAATCCAAATTTCTTTAGTATTTTTGTTATTATTTTTTAAAAATAGTGCTCGATACAAAAGTAGAGCATAAATATAATTATTTCTTTAAATTATGTATTGATCATTATTTTTAAATTAATGTTTTGAACGCTGTAATCCTACCGTTCGTTCTCCTACAGTTATATATATATATATTTATATATATATATATATATATATATATATATATATATATATATATATATATATATATATATATATATATATATGGGAATTTGTAGGTCTGATGAATTAGATCGTGATTAAGATTCCAACGTAATAAATTATAACCATAGAATATTAGTGTTTGAGCCTTTGATATATATATATATATATATATATATATATATATATATATATATATATATATATATATATATATCAAAGTGTAGGAGAACGAACGGTAGGATTACAGCGTTCAAAACATTAATTTAAAAATAATGATCAATACATGAATATATGTTATATATATATATATATATATATATATATATATATATATTAACTCTATTTCTGATATTGAGCGCTTTCTTTTATATATATATATATATATATATATATATATATATATATATAATCCATTCAGTCAGGTAATAATTCATTTTGTGGTCTTCAGACGTCTATTTCTTCAGACCAATTTTACAAAAATAAATGGAGTTCAATTTATTCACGCACAAGGAAAAGAAAAAAGGAAAAGAGAAAAAAGGATAAGGAAAAAGTTTTAACATTAAAAGGGGAAATAAAAATGGGAAGAAAGACAGAGGTTTCAATGTAAGGTTTTTTAGGAGGGCGAAAAAGACAGATAGACATGGGAAGAGGAAACGGAAAGAGAGTGAAAGATGGAAAGAAAGGAGTTAAGCCAGTCGACAGGGTAACCCAGAAAATATTTTTTCCCGGGACTTGACAATTTAATAATAGTGTGGTTTAATGGAGTGATCAAATTCAAAATCGATACACTGAAATCGTCTAGACATTTTAAGCAGTGGAAACATCATCAACGCATTATAACTGTCACAATTATAAACTCATAATAATAATAATAAATAAAATATTTGACATCAATATAAAGAAATAACCTCAATTTAAAAAAAATGATATTATTTAAAAAATTAAAAAAAACTCCCAAAATTTTGCTTAATAAATAAATTGATAAATAAAGGACCATTTCAAGTAATGAAAAAAACTTAAAATGCTATATATATATATATATATATATATATATATATATATATATATATAGCAATTCATCCAGTCTAGAATAAACCTCAATGGAATGCAGAAAGCACTGGTCGGCCGTTACGTATTATATTTGGGACTCATCAGCAGTGCGCATCCATTATCGAGATTCGAACCCGGATCATTTCGATATATCACACTATATATATATATATATATATATATATATATATATATATATATATATATATATATATATATATATATTTGTAGTAATTCTAGTAATACGTCTTGTATATCCTTGCTGGACCCACCTAATGATCTGTGTGTTTTGGAGAACAATCCGTTCGATTTATGAATACTTGCATGAGTATCACCGCGAAATTTGTGAGTGACGGCGCCATATCGAGTCTATCAGTTTTTCTACGTCACTGAGGACCGTCGGTGCAGTTGGCATGATGCGTGTGATATATTGGACCTTTGATTCAAAGTTAAGTTTTTTTTTTTTTATCCGGAAATATAATTATTGCTAACTTTTCCTGTTGGCAGAGGTTGCAGGTATTATTATGGTTGTTGGAATGTTTCACTTTTTAAAAAGATTTCTAGTTTAAAGTTGGATCTTCGTTGATTTTTTCTTTTTAATTTCCACACATGGTTAGTTTGTCTGGTGCAGTTCCTAAGATTTTCAAGCTTGAAAGACGACCTGTGATTGTAACATCTTCTTTTGAAACTACCTTCAGTATATCCTATATATGTTTTCTTCTGTATCTATTACTTTTATTTTATAAATTACTGCTTAGGTTTTGTAAACTCCATTTAATGGACATCTATTTTTATTTCTACAGTTGCATAATTAACCAGTGTTAGCTATATTTTGCTGCATGTTAGTTTTTAAATTTCTGGTGTTTTGTCGTTTTATTATTGTTTCTAAATTACTAGTACAGCTGTAACTTAATTTAACTGTGTTTCTATTAAATATCTTATGTAATTCTCAATTTTTGTTGAAGTGTAAATAAAAACAAACAGGTATTTATAAATTACGATAAAAAAACTTTTATCCATCTATATCTAAAAAGGACTGCTGGAGGCATTGTACTTCGCCAAAATATATTACACGTAGTCTAATTTAAGGAATAATGTCTTTAAATTGACTATAGTCATCGCTTTTATTTTCTGATAATGTCGTGTATAGTTGACCATACTTTCAAATAAGAGTACGTTACGTAATATATGTATAAAAATAGTAAAAATCATTTAAAATATTTTGGTGCAAAATACTTTGTAATAAGCTTTTCGATTTTTGATTAGTAAATATAGTTTTTTACTTAATTACAATATCATTAAAGTAATGCTGAATTGTAAAGGATTTATATATTGTACATTATTATGATGAAAACAGTTATTGTAAAAATTCATTATTCATCGAAAAAAATTCTTAAGACAATAGTGTCATGAATAAATATTATTTATAAAAGCAATAAAATATTTTTTTAATTGAATAATGTCATATTTTTAGTTCATCTTTATTTTACGATTCCTAGTAGATTTTCGGAAAATGGGTAGCAGTTTTTAAAAAAGTCGATGGTTTACATTCTCCAAGGAGTCCTGCTTTTATCTAATAAAAAAAATTGTGATTGAAATTTAATTTCACGAAATTTCATGAAATTAGATAAGTGGAGAGTAACATGTAAAAAAAAAACAAAAAAAAAACAGTTTTTACCAAGATTTTCTAAAAAAAAAAAAATTCAAAAATAATTTCATTCATTTGTGAATAATTCCTGAAAGTATCATTAAAATCTGGCAATTATTTGATTTTTGCAAGAATTTCCAAATCAATGTGTTTTTCACATGAAAAAAGGAGCTAAAACACTAATAGCAAATATTAAGTCGATCGCAGACGAAAAAACAAATAAAAAACAAGATTTTACCAAAATTTCCAACGTGGATTAAAAAAATTAATAAAATAATAAAAAAATATTTTCTTCTGTCCAATTATTGTAATAAAAACAAACATTTTGATGATAAAACTTTGTTTTTATTAAGCTTAGGGATTTTTTTAATCATGCCCTCTCGACATCAGGTTAATACGCACACATAAAGTTATTCAAATGTAGGTCTATCGAAATCCAACTAATAATAATAACCCCATACACTTTTACTCCCACCACAACATATATATATATATATATATATATATATATAGATGGATGGATGGATATATATATATTCTCAGACTTTTCCCTGTATAGATCACGCAGTCTCAGACTAATCCATTAGATAGATAGATAGATAGATAGATAGATAGATAGATAGATAGATAGATAAAAGGAAGGAAGAAAGGAAAGAAGGAAGGCAGGAAGTAGTGAGAGTGTATGAGATGCCTTTTTGTCTGTCGAAATCTAACTGATATTAATGAGCCCGTACACCTTAACATACAGGCACACACACATACACACACACACATATATATATGAACATTCTCAGACTCTTCACTATAGAGTTCATTCAGTCTCAGACTAATTTAATAGATAGATAGATAGATAGATAGATAGATAGATAGATAGATAGATAGATATTAGAGGGATTGAGATAGACAGATACTAGTAGACTGGGGTAGAGATAGATAGATAGATAGATAGATAGATAGATAGATAGATAGATATGAACAGAATGGGAAAGAAAGAAATGGAAGCAAGGCAGGTAGAGGGAAAGGGAGAAAGGAACGAAAGAATTTGAGAGGGAGAGACGCCTTTTTAGATGCCTTTTTGTCTTCATTACAAAATATTACCTCTGAAATTTCAACTAAATTTTTACAGTGAATTTATTAAAATGACAATGAAAAATGTTAATCTGAAAAGTCAAGTTTTCTGTTAGAATGTTAATGACTTTTCTCTTGTTATAAACTGAATGTTTCACCAAAGTATTTCCTCTCACCCACACCACGTCTTGAATTTTTTCCCAAAGAAAAACATCTTCAAGAGCCTTGGAAAATTAAAGAATCGTGCTTTTTCGCGTCATTTTTTTTTCTTCTTCCGTTCTTTCATTAATATTAGATTTTACTTTAGTGTGACGTTAAAAACGTGAATTTTGACTTTGCGTTTAATTAACATTGTTTTTCTTGCATGTGTTACAAGTCTTTCACTGGCCCTGTTGGCTGGCTTATTTCGAGTTAAAAGAAGAAAAAAGACAAAGTCGTGTTCTTTAACAACGGCTGCATCTGGCAGGAAAAAAGAGAAGACAGCGAGGAAAGGAAGAAGGATTAAAAAGAAGTATATACAATACTCCATTACCCAATTCTTAGAGGCCGGTCATCTTGAATATTTGTCTGAAAAAGGCGGGAATTTTCTAAGTCTTCAAATCGTCGAAGAATTTTTGTTTTATTTGGATGGTTTTATTTTATTTTGAGGAATAAAATAGTGCTGATTACGAATGTACTAGGTTTGATCAAAAAAGTACCCGTACTGGTGCTTTAAAAAGAAAACTCCAAGATATATCAATTCGGCATTTAATCACCTTCGAAATAGTCCCCATTCTGAAGCCAAACACTTAATCCAGCGTCGTGACGGAAGCATACCTGGAATCCGTTTTTTTTTTTCGGGTTTTAGTGAGCAAATGCATCGTCAAAGTATTTTGGATTACCTTAACTACTTGAAATTTTGTTTCTTTCAAGTGGGATTTGATTTTTGGAAAGAGGAACTCGCAAAAGATGAAATCTTGATAATATTGTGATTGTCACTCGTGGGTAATGTTGTCTAGGCCAAAAACTGCTGCACAATACATGGTCAATGATGAAGTCTCTGTGGTGTGATGAGACGACCACACTCTACACACTTTCCTTCCAAACACTGCTATAAACAAAGAAAGTGAGCGATAACGTTTTTAATGTGTATGTGCGACAGAGCTCAAGGGCAACCTATGCCAAGCGGCTTCGCTCTGTGTATTTTAGCGCCGTTACCATAGCAACAGACCCTTTAGTTATTTGTTCAGCCCTCAGACGATTATGATAGTGTTGTGGTAGGATCCACCTAATTTGCATAGTGCAGTACCGACCATACAAATATGGTTGGTACCGGGAAGACGAGGAGAGGAATCAAGAGATTCAATCCAGAGACTCTGCCCGACTGCGACTAAGTCAACACATTCTCCAGGAACGGTCTTCCCAAGAATATACAACAGACTATATGTAAATATTGTGTACACTTTCTTGTTTCAATACATTTTGTTCTAAGTACATTTTGTGTTGTATTATTATTCCATGCATTAGTCAAGTTTTAACAGATAGCTTTGTAATAAAGTTTGCTGAATGGAGATTAGACACTTGCTGTGATTTTAGCATTATCAACTATTAAGACTATTTTTTTTCTATTATATAACTTTTGTCTCATTTCAAAATGATCAAGTCGTTTTTTTACATTCTACCACCGTTGAGTTTTGAGTATATACAGGAAAGTAAACAACAAAAAAAAAAAAAAAGGACATGCAAAAATCGTATTAAAAAAACATAGATGAAACTACCATTTACTCATGTTTTAATAGCAAACCCGGCAGCGCTGACAAAGTCAACCCGGCCGCTGCCCTCGAAAAGGTCCTTGAATCAGTGGTTAACTGTGGTAGGAAACGGCCTTGTAAATTCGAATGCCCCCTAAAACGAAACTGCTCTCATTTAGCCGACACAATTCCCTGGTTGGATGCAACTGAGCGTTTAGATGACCTCCATAAGAAAGTCTGGAGCTATTTATGAACATAACCCGAGATTTTAGGCTCTCAATAGCTGCCGTAATTGGTGGAAAATCCTCCCGCGTGTATGCTTCTTTGAACACTACACTATTAGCCACTTCCCTCAAGGGACAATTGTTATCTATCCCCATTATGTACATAATATTTACGCGCTTCTAACTCCTTTTTCATTCTAACTCCTTTTCCATTCATGTTAAAGATCATATTCATTATCTATCTATCTATCTATCTATCTATCTATCTATCTATCTATCTATCTATAACATTCTGTGGCTTACGTTAGTCTGTCTGTCCTTCCGTCTCTCTGTCTAAAATAGCCATACATTGACCGAACAAAATAAAATTTAGGGTGAAGTTCAAACAGGTAAGGGAGTACACAGTGCATTTGGTTTTACTAGAGTGCAGATTTTGGTACAATAAATTTTTATTAATTCATTGGTTAGAATTAAAACTTTTAATATTTAACATACAAAATACTCCGACTATTTTTAAAATAATTTAATGATTAAAATAACAAATACTTATTTAATAAAAATGCAGTATTTTTTCATATCTTTCTTTACGTTTTTATATATGCAAGAATCGAATTTCCTGTTCTCCCTGCGTTTGCGAGAATTATAAGCAAACCAAAAGGTCACACGCTTAAAAAGATGAAATTTGACTCCAGAAAAAAATAATTACGCATGGCCAGTTGTATGTTGCATTCTCAAGAGTAAGAAATCCTAAGAATTTATTCGTCGATGGTAAAAAGGAAAACGGAAAAAAATAAATTTTCTTAAGAAATATTGTTTACTATTGAAGTCCTGTAAAGTTAAATTGAAGAATTTATTAAAAAGCGAATTAGGTTTTTTTGTCAAAGTATTTTTCTAAGCAAATCACCTTATTCATATTTCATCGATTGGTATGCGAAATTGAACGAAACGTAGAGTTTGTAAATCTCACAAAACTGTTAGTGATAACTTCAATGATACTAAATATTGTGAGTAGCTGACAAAAAAAAAATCTAGTTTTTAAAATTGCTATGATTGCATCACCTGGCCTGTGATTCTAATTTTTCGTCCGCGATGTTTATTCTGATGTAATAGAAATCAAATATAAAAAGAACATTTTTGGGGTTTGTGTGATAAATAAAACATTAAAAAATCATCACGATAAACCACTGCGAACTGTTAATGACCTGAACTAATTAATTATGTTAATGTGATCTTAATGATGAAATTTTATCTTCTCTTTATTTTTTGTCCAATCAAGCATCTAGAAACTTCAAAAGCTATTTTAAAAAATTGATTTAGCATTACGAGTAGATACAGTTGCCTTGGAACATTATAAAATTTTATCAAATATAATAGGTGGAGAGTTTGATAATTTCTTCCCAAATGAAGATCAACACAAATATATTTTCATTTCTTATTTTATTTCTTACTTTTTTTAAAGTTCTGTGTAACCATTGTTTTGGCTTTCGTAGGCCATATATTTATTATGAACTAGCAGTAGAGCCCGGCGTTGCCCGGGGATGTAACAGTAAGAGATAGATCAAGTATCGACCATCATAAAGACTGAAAAATAAAATTGACAAAGATTATTGTTTAAGGTTGACGGACAAGCATGTCTTAATTAGTTTTTTTTTTTCTTTTTTTTTTTACGAATTGGTCAAACCCAAACTCAAATAAAAACCTTGTTTTCAATCGTTATGAGTCTACCGATTGAATAGAACTTTTCAATTTTATTATAAACAATTGTCTTGTAAATGGAATTTTTAAAGCATTCTGAATGTAAAAATAAAGAAACAAGTGTGCAAGACAATAAGAAACACTACCTGCCAAAAAGTTTTGTTGAAATCGGTTGAAAAATGTAGGAAATCCGATTCCATATATAAATGAACACACACACACACACACACACACACACACACACACACACACACACACAACCTGGGTTTTATAATAAGTATAACTCGATATGAGTTGTCTCCCTTTCATTAATGTCTCTTAATCGTGTTTTCAAATTGATTTTGTGCAAAAACAATTGTGTTTTTCCAATTTTTGGCACTGTCTGAACCACCGCAGGGTATTTTTACGTAGTCCTGTGAAGTTTTGTTGAAAAATGTAGGAAATCCGTTCCAATATATAAACGAACAGACACACACACACAACCTGGGTTTTATAATAAGTATGATTTACAATGTGGACTGGCACTACAGAATAAAAAATTAAGGAAAAAATATACTCATGATTTGGAATCTTCTTCTTCTTCGTGTGCCGTGTCCTATCAGGACATTGGCGACCATGGTTCTCGAAGATTTCCTGTCCTTTGTAGCTCCTAATAATTTTGTCTTTTTCCTATTTCTCTTAAATCCTGTTCTGCTATCTATTTTCTCAAGTTCGCTAGGTAGTTTGGTTTTGCTTACTGTTGTGGATTCCGGGATGAAATCCGGTACCAATAAATAAAGGAAGGAATATACGAAAATAATGTATTAACGTAATAATACAAACTGGTAAAATACTCATCTCTAAAGCGGCTGAACTCCCATGCATTCAACCCAAGGGAAGACAACTCTTGCCTCCCTACATAGATATGAGTCAAGAGTTGAAGATTCGTCTCCAACTTGCTTGTCAAACTCTCTGCCTCCGGGCATAGAGGATCCCCAAACGAGGCGATGTCGAAAGTCAGAGTCTCGTCTCGGGAAATGGCTACCCGAACTCGGTCTACGGGGAAATTTTGTCCGAGACTACGGGCTCGGATACCCCACATTAAATTCGGCCTTCTGCCACATTTGACCCCGTGGGGCGGTTGGTAGATATCCTGCATTTGGAGATTCGTCTGCAGCTGTGCTGGTCAAACTCTCTGCCTCCGAGCAGAGAAAATCACCAGATGAGGCTATGTCGAAGGGCAGGGTCTCATCTCGGGTAAACACTCTACCTCCGAGCAGAGAGGATCAGCAGATGAGGCTATGTCGAAGGGCAGGGTCTCGTCTCAGGAAACGGCTACCCGGCCACGTTTTATATGGGGTCTACGGAAAACTTTTGGCCTTTACGGGCCCAGATACCCCACATTAATTTTATTTTTTAAGCATTTCACCCCAAGCAAGGCGGGAAGCCACTAGGACGCAAGGGGTTACAGAAAGTTTAGAGCAAGATCAGATAGGAGTGATAGAAGAAAGGATGGGGGTAGTGGATAGATCAAGGCAACTGGAGATGTCGATTGACATTACACTTGAATAGCTGGAGATTATAGCTCACAGGGAAACAGGAATAGGGAAGGGAGTTCCACAGGCGAGAGGTGCAAGACATGAAGCTATTAGAGTAGAAGAGACGGCTACATTTAGGAGTTTCGACAGTGAAGGGGTGAGAGCGGGATGCCAGCCTCGTAAGGCGCTGGAACTCATGACGTCTGGGAACCAGCGAATGCAGCTCCTCGGAGCAATTTCCATGAAAGTATTAAGCCTTGTGCCACATCTAACCGCGTGGGGCGGTTGGTAGATATCCTGTAGTAGGAGATTCGTCTCAAGCTGTACTGGTCAAACTCTGCCTCCGAGCAGAGAGAATCCCCA